TATTGAAAGCGAATTATCACAGATTAAACTTGGATTTCCCTGATTTTGAACTTGTTTTCATGGGCTTAATTTCCATGTATGCATCTTCTTTCACGAAATATCTATTCTGAGTTGTTTGTCCACTTCAATTTTTATTTTTGCCTTTTTATAAAGTTTTTGAAGTTATGTATTCTAAGTTATTTATGAGGCATCTATTATATCCAATTCTGTTTGTGTTTTCATTCTTTGAACAGTGGCTTTGGAAAAGAAAAATAGTCTAATTTTTATTAAAATCAAGTTTTTTCTTGCATGAGTGGATGGACCATGCTTTTGATGTCATATTTAAGGGTTTTATGAAGACTTTCTTTTACATTTTAAAAAAGATTTGTTTGTTTGTGTGTGTGTCTATGCACACGTGTGCAAGTGCCCATCGAGGTTAGAAGAGGGTGTCAGATCCCCTCTAGCTGCTGATGTGGGATGTAGGAACTGAATTCTACTCAGAAGTGGACAGCTGCAGCATTGTAGCCAATTTCTGGAACAACCCTGAAGGACACTGGGGAAGGAAAGTCTTCACAGTGGGCAGAACTTCGGGCAGTGCACATGGTCGTGTATTTTGCTTGGAAGGAGAAATGGCCAGAAGTGCAATGTTATATACTGATTCATGGGCTGTAGCCAATGGTTTGGCTGGATGGTCAGGGACTTGGAAGGAGCATGATTGGAAAATTGGCGAGAAAGACATTTTGGGAAGAAGTATGTGGATAGATTCCTCCAAATGGGCAAAGGATGTGAACATACTTGTGTCTCATGTAAATGCTCATCAAAAAGTGGCTTCAGCAGAAGACGAGTTCAATAATCAAGTAGATTGGATGACCCGCTCTGTGGACCGTCAGCCTCTTTCTTCAGCTAGCCCTGTCATTGCTCAATGGGCCCATGAACAAAGTGGCCATGGTGGCAGAGATGGAGGTTATGCATGGGCTCGACAGCATGGACTCCCGCTCACGAAAGCTGACCTGGCTACAGCTGCTGCTGAGTGCCAGATCTGCCAACAGCAGAGACCAACACTGAGCCCCCGATATGGCACTGTTCCCCGTGGCGACCAATCTGCGACCTGGTGGCAGGTTGACTATGTTGGACCACTTCCATCTTGGAGGGGACAGACAGCGTTTTGTCCTTACAGGAATAGACACTTATTCTGGTTATGGATTTGCCTTTCCTGCACGTAATCCTTCTGCCAAAACTACTATCCAGGGACTTACAGAATGCCTTATCCACTGCCATGGTATTCTGCATGGCATCGCTTCTGACCAGGGAACTCACTTCACAGCCAAAGAAGTGCGACAGTGGGTCCATGGTCATGGAATCCATTGGTCTTCCCATGTTCCCCGCCATCCTGAAGCAGCTGGCTTGATCGAACGATGGAATGGTCTCTTAAAGACACAGTTACAGTGCCAATTAGGTGGCAGTAGCCTGGAGGGCTAGGACAGGGTCCTCCAGAGGGCAGCATATGCTTTGAATCAGCGTCCAATATACGGTACAGTTTCCCCTATAGCCAGGATTCACGGGTCCAGGAATCAAGGGGTGGAAGTGGGAATGATTCCACTCACTATCACCCCTGGTGACCCTCTATGAAAATTTTTGCTTCCTGTGCCCTCGACTTTGCCCTCTACTGGCTTGGATGTTTTGGTTCCAGAAGAGGGAGTGCACCTGCCAGGAGAGACAACAAACATTCCGCTGAACTGGAAGCTAAGACTTCCCCCTGGACACTTTGGGCTTCTGATGCCGTTAAGTCAGCAGGCTAAGAAAGGAATAAGAGCATTAGGAGGGGTGATTGACCCAGACTACCAGGGGGAAATTGGACTGATTCTCCACAATGGAGGTAATGAACTTTATATCTGGAAGGCAGGAGATTCCTTAGGGTGACTTTTGGTGTTACCATGTCCTGTGATTAAGGTCAATGGGAAACTGCAACAACCCAATCCAGACAGGACAACAAATGGCCCAGACCCTTCAGGGATGAAAGTATGGATCACTCCTCCAGCGAAAAAAGCCAAGACTTGCAGAGGTGTTTGATGATGGTGGAGGAAATACAGAATGGGCAGTAGAGGAAGGTACTTACAAATACCAACTTAGACCACGTGGCCAGTTGCAGAAATGTGGATTGTAATTGACATGAGTGTTTTTGTCCTACGCATGTACACACATATGTTAAGCAGATACTTGGGTTATTCTTTTTTGAATATGTAATCGAGATGTGTTAAGTGGTTAAGTGTTGTGAACCTATATGATTATATTGGGTTATGAGACACTAAAGGACTAAGCATTCCTCGAAGACCTTATCACCTATTCTGAGATATATAACGCATTGGCCATTGTATTATGGGATAGTTATATCATGTTAGGTGAAATTATGACCTCAACATTGTTTTCATTTGAAAATTAAGCATGACAGAGAGAGATGCTATTGTGTGTCAGGTTGACAAGGGGTAGACTTGTGATGGCTAATCCTGGGTGTCAACTTGATTGGATCTGGGATTAACTGAAATGAAAGAGATCTTCTTGATCGGATCAACTAAAGCCAGAAGACACACCCTAAATGTGGGCGTTACCTTCTGATGGCAGCTGGTATAAAAGACGACAGCAGAGGAGAACCCAGGCTTCTTGCTGCTTGCCTTCTCTCTCGCTGGGGAGTTCATCTTGCTGCTGTAGACTGAAGACTAGCTGATCTTTTGGAATTTGTGAGACCTTCAGCGCCAGATTGGGACTACTGAGCCATCCAGCCTTGTGGACTGAGCAACTACGGATTCTCAGCCTCTCCAGTGTGGTGCAGCCATTGTTGGACTACTCAGACTCTATCCTGTGAGCTAAGCTGATTAAATCTGTATACATACTGTGATGGCTAATCCCGGGTGTCAACTTGATTTGATCTGAGATTAACTGAAATGAAAGAGATCTTCTTGATTGGATCATCTAAAGCCAGAAGACACACCCTAAATGTGGTCATTACCTTCTGATGGCAGCCGGTGGATGGCAGAGGAGAACACAGGGCTTTTTGCGGCTTGCCTTCTCTCTCACTGGTGGGTTCATCTTGCTGCTGTAGACCGAAGACTAGCTGATATTTTGGAATTTGTCAGACCTCCAGCACCGGATTGGGACTACTGAGACATCCAGCCTCGTGGACTGAGCGACTACAGATGCTCAGCCTCTCCAGTGTGGTGCAGCCATTGTTGGACTACTCGGACTCTATCCTGTGAGCTAAGCTGATAAATCTTTATACGTATTCATTCTACTGGTTCTGTTTCTTTGGAGAACCCTGACTAATACACATACGTACGTACGTACATACATAAATACACACACACACACACTCACACACACACAAACTCATATATATATATATGTATATGTATATGTTCATTCTATCGGTTCTGTCTCTTAGAGAACCGTGACTAATACAGATTTTGGTACCAGGAGTGGTTCTAGAGAAACAGAATTGAAAGGATGAAATTCTTGGCGTTGGGCTGTATATTTGCTACTGTGTCATTGCCCCCTCCCCTCATTATAGGGTAACTCCACTTAAACTCTTGTTAGATTGTATTTGTGTTTTAGAAATATTTTCATTTTTTATTTTCATTTTACGTGTATGAGTGCATTGCCTGCATGTATGTGAATACACCCATGTCATGCAATGCTGCAGAGGGCAGAAGAGAGCTTCGGATTCCCCTGGAAGTGGAATTAAGGACAGGTCGTAGCCAGCATGCTGGTGCTAGGAATCGAACCTGGGTCCTCTGCAAGAGCAGTTCAGTGCTCTTAACCACTGAGCCCCTGTATATGTATGTTTTAAGAAGGTTCTATAGTAGTAGTTTTCCATATGACTATAAAAATAGTTTATGTATTATTTTCATTTTGTGTATGAGAGTATTGCCTGCATGTATGTAAGTGCACCTGTGTCATGCAATGCCCTTGGAGATCAGAAGAAGGCATTGGATTGTCTGGAACTGGAGTTACCATGTGGGTGATAGGAACCAAACCTGGGTTCTTTGCAAGAGCAGCTAGTGCTCCTTTAACTGCTGAGCCATCTCTTCAGTCCTCCATGTGATTTTTTCAAGCCCTTTAGTGTTAGCTACTTCTCCCCAGACTTCCTCTTCTGCCCTCTCAGCTTCTACTCCCTTTAACATTTCCTAATCCATGATTTCCTTTTAGCCCTTTGTATCACTGCATTTTATCTCCTGTTCCATGAACCCCCAGCCCTTTACTAGTTTCCTGGCCTCGGTGGATTTTCCAGTTGAGCGTGTGTATCTAAAGATTCGAAATGAGCAAATCCTCTCATGACAGAGAGCACGGGATGTTTGTGTTTCTGAGTGTGGGTTATCTCACTCAGGATGTTTTTCTCCACTTCCATACATTTATTTACTTGCAAGCTTTATAATTTTGTTTTTTCTTAACAACGGAATAATGTTCCATTGTGTCAATGTCCCATACTTTCATTATCTAATCATTTATTGATGGGCATTAGGTGGTTTCTGTTTCCTGGCTCCGGAGAGTAGAAATGAACACAGATGAACAGGTATGTCTGTAGTACGATATACAGTCCTTTAGGTATATGCCAGAGAGTGGCATGGCTAGATCTTGTGGTAGATCTATTTCTAGCTTTGTGAGGAACCTCTGCACTGAATTCCATAGTAGCTGCATCATTTGCACTCCCACCAGCAGTGAATAAGAGTCCCCCTTTCCCTTCATCCTCACTAGCAGTTGTCATTGTATTTGGATCTTAGCTATTCTGTGATAAGATTAAGTCTTAAGGTAGTTTTAATTGGCGTTTCCCTGAAGGCTAACGATGTTGAATATTTAAAACATATTCTTCATCCATTTGTCTCATCTTTTAAGAGCTCTGTTTAGTTCCTTGCCCCAATTTTTGATTGGGTTTATTTTGATGTTTAGTGTTTTGAGTTTTTTGTGTATTCTATTTTATTTTGTATGTTCCAGATACTAACACTCTGTCAGATGTATACTGGTGCGCTCGATAGTTTCATTTGTCAACTTGACACACCTGGGAAGAAGGAAACTCAGTTGAGGCATTGCTTCCGTGGGATTGGACTGTGGCCAGGTCTATGAGGCATCGTTTTAATTATGGGTTGATGTGGGAGGAACCAACCCATTGTGGGTGGTGTCACCCCTGAGCAGGTGGTCCTAGGTTGTATAAGAAAGCAGAATGAGGACAGGCCAGAGGTACAAGGCAGTAAGCAGCGTTCCTCCATGGTCTCTACTTCACCTCCTGCCCCCAGGTTCCTGCCCTGAGTTCCTACCCTGATTTCCCTGAAGGATGAACTGTGATTGGGACGTGTAAACCAAACAAATCCTTTCCTCTCCAACCTGATTTTGGTCAAAGTGTTCTTACATATGTTGAGTTTCATGCATTTCATACACTAAATCTTAGTCATATTTAGACCCCTTCCCCATCTGTACCTTTCCCCATAGCCCCTTGGTCAGAGTATTTTCTCACTGCAATAGAGAAGCAAACTAGAACAGCTGGTAAAGATTCTTTTCTGATTCTGTAGGTTGTCCCTTCACTTGATTGATGGTATCATTTGCTATACAGAAGCTTTTTATCTTCATGACGTCCCATTGTCAATTGTCCTTGATGGATGTGCTATCCGAGCCCTGTTCAAAAAGTAGTTTCCTGTTCCTGTAAGTTCCATTGTATTCACTACTTTCTCCTCCATCCAATTCAGGGTATCAGGTTTTATGCTGAGGTTCTGGAGCAGGCGGTCCTAGGTTGTATAAGAAAGCAGAATGAGGACAGGCCAGAGGTACAAGGCAGTAAGCAGCGTTCCTCCATGGTCTCTACTTCACCTCCTGCCCCCAGGTTCCTGCCCTGAGTTCCTACCCTGATTTCCCTGAAGGATGAACTGTGATTGGGACGTGTAAACCAAACAAATCCTTTCCTCCCCAACCTGATTTTGGTCAAAGTGTTCTTACATATGTTGAGTTTCATGCATTTCATACACTAAATCTTAGTCATATTTAGACCCCTTCCCCATCTGTACCTTTCCCCATAGCCCCTTGGTCAGAGTATTTTCTCACTGCAATAGAGAAGCAAACTAGAACAGCTGGTAAAGATTCTTTTCTGATTCTGTAGGTTGTCCCTTCACTTGATTGATGGTATCATTTGCTATACAGAAGCTTTTTATCTTCATGACGTCCCATTGTCAATTGTCCTTGATGGATGTGCTATCCGAGCCCTGTTCAAAAAGTAGTTTCCTGTTCCTGTAAGTTCCATTGTATTCACTACTTTCTCCTCCATCCAATTCAGGGTATCAGGTTTTATGCTGAGGTTCTGGATTCATTTGAAGTTGAGTTTTGTGCAGGGTGAGAGATAGGGACCTAGTTTCACTTTCCTACATATAGCTATCCAGTTTGACCAGCGCACCATTTGTTGAACATGCTGTCTTTTCTACAATGTGTATTTTGGACCCCTTTGTCGAAAATCAGATGACTGTAAGTGCATGGACTTAAATCTGGGCTGTCTATTTCTTTATATTCATCAGTGTCTCTGTTTTTATGCTGGTGTCATGGCTGTTTTTATTATTTTAGCTCTGCAGTATAATTTGAGATCGAGGATGGTGATACCTCCATCTCTTCTTTTCTTTTTCAGAATTGTTTTGGTTATCCTGGTTTGTTTCTTTCTTTGTTTCCATGTGAAATTCAAATTCAATTCACTTTCAATTTTTGTGAAGTATTGTGTTGGGGTTTTAGTGAGGATTGTATTAAATCTGTAGATTGCTTTTGGTAGGATGGCCATTTTCACAATATTCATTCTACCGATCTATGAGAGTGGGCGGGGGGGGTGTCTTTCCATCTTCTGATATCTTCTTCAGTTTCTTTCTTCAGTGTCTTAAGGTTTTTGTTATACAAGTCTCTCACTGATTTGATTAGAATTATTAAAAATATTTTGTGTTTTTTTGAGGCTATCCTATCGTGAATGGGATCAGTTCCTTGCTTTCTTTCTCAGTATGTTTGTTGTTGGTCTATAGGAAGACTACTGATTTTGGTGTATTAGTTTTATAACCCGTTTCTATGCTGAGCATGTTTGTCAGCTCTAGGACTTTTCTGGTGGAGTCTTTAGTGTTTTGTTTTGTTTTGTTTTTTTAAAATCATATCATCTGCAAATAAGAATTCTTTGACTTTTTCCATTCTGATTGGTTTCCCCTTTATTTCCTTCACTTGTCTTACTGCTCTAGCTAAAACTTCAAAAACTATATTGAACAGGAGTAGAGAGAGTGAACATACTTACTTGTCTGTTTCCTGATTTTAATGTAAATTCTTTGATATTTTCTCCATTTAGTAGGATGTTGGCCATGGGCCTGTCGTATATTGGTTTCATTATGTTGCGATGTCTCCTGTATCC